TTGCTGCTCTAAACTATTGATTTTTATGGGTGATAATGAATGGGCTTTTATTTAGCATCACACTAAATGCATGATGAGTTTCATATCAGAGCATAGCTTTGATGAGCAGTCTATTTTTTTTTTCTGTGAAAGGGTAAAAGTTTCATTTTGGGAATCGAAGTTTGATACATGTTTGCACATTTAAATGTGTTTCCATCAGACAGTGTGAATCTAGTGAAACTAACCCCACGCAGTACTCTGAAGAGAGGGGGAGGACAAAAAGCTCTTTCGTATCCCTTCATTGTTTCTCTGACTTTGGAATATAACTGGGAAAAGGGGGTGAAGGGCAGGGGCAATACTCTTTTAAACATGAGAGATATGATGTAGCAAAAAGTGTCTGTACAAATCCTAGAAGAAATACTTTATGAAGCAAGCACATACTTTAAATCTGTTCTTTAAACTACTCTTATAAGCTGTGTGTAATTCAAGGTCTGTGGGTTTAGTAAAACTGGTTGTGCTGTCTGAGACAAAGTTGTGAGTGAGTGGATGTGCTCATAAAGTGAGATTTACTTAGATTCTTGTCACTATACTCTGGTAATATTTAAAGTATATGCGCAATACTGAGTAAAAGGGTTGTTTGATATTAAGACAAAACTAATAATCTTGCATTTCTCCCCGTGCTTCTAAAAATGTCTTCTGTAAATAAGAACAAAGTCGGACTAAAATCCCCATCTTTTACAATGCTGTAGAGCTATTTATACTATTTCAAGGTTGTTCAAATGTATAATGCAGAGACCTAAAATTCAATAAATGCACACAGTACTTTCTCAAAAACGTCATCATGGCTGCCTTTATTTTAGTGTTTTGCTCTTTTAAAAAGGTGATTTCCTTTGCTTTTTTGTTTTAAATAAGTGTAAAAATCGTTTTTAACACCGAAAACATACTATGATCTATAGTCTTCATTTACAGGCATCTTACCTTGATTTGTTTGTGCTATCAATCTCACAGAAACCAAAACTCCCGCTTATTTTCTGGAGGAGTTTGAGTCTTCCACAGATGTCGAGAAATCAAAACAGTCCCATTTTTGTCAAACGAGCCTCTCGGGCTTGAACAGAAACCGAGCAAAGTGAATAAGAAATCACCAGTCAACTCTTAAGACGCTTATGTTTTTGTGTTATGTTTTACATATCTCAAACAGAGATATAAGCTATCCCCTGGAGACGATAATAAAATGACCACAGTGGTCTGAAGGGATTACACCGTTGTTATATATACATCCCGCTTGTGTCTATGTAACCACTGGGTTGCTAGTTGCTCCCCTCCGGTTTTAACCGCGTCGAGATAATAAGAATGTTTCAATGACTGCGCTGTATTTTGAATGAAATGGTTCTCCCGTCACTCACTGTGACACAGAGTCCGTCTTCTGCCTGAAAACGCGCCGCGATTGGCGCATGTTCGCCTAGGAATAAACGCCGCGACGCGATTGGCCGACAGCTGTGAAAGGGGTGGGACGGACTGTCAAGATTAGCAAACCGCTGCAGGTAAAAGGAAGGAGCGACAGAAGACAGCCAACATTTATCTTTGCAAGAAAGCGAAGAGTGCGGTGGAAATGTGACTTTTGTTTTCTCCTCACCTCCGTGCGGCACAACTCTAGCGGCGACGGCTTTTAGTTTTTTTGGAGTCGGGACGAGAGCACCAACACCTTCGGCGCCTTGGAAGAAAGTGTCGCTGTGTCAACCATCGTTTGGCTCCCGGGCACGCTTTGTAACAACGAGCAACTTGGACAGCTGCGTGTTTTCCATACAGCTATCGACAAAGAATGAAAGCAGTCAAAAGAGGTGAGCTCTACTCGTCTTTTGCCGTGTCCGTTTCGCGCCAGCGGAGTGTCTGCCTACGAGCCCCTGCGTGGCTTTTCGCTGTTGACTCTGGCTGGTATGCGGGGTTTTTTGTTGCGAGCAAATGCAGCGTGTGTTTGTGTTGAAATTTGGAGGGACAGCTAGCCAGCTAGTTATCTCTGGAGGCAGGCATGGTGTCCATCTGGCGGAGCGACATGCGGGGAGGCTGTGCGTCCCTGCTCGCCTCCTTTTGTGCCTTCCACATGGCTAATTTACCCGTTTTCCCTCCAGGTTGGTCATATTTTATTTTATGCAAGTAGTGGGGGTTTTTGTTTTGTATTTTGAAATGCATCCTAATTTCTCTAACAAAGCGGTCTGTTGTGCATAGCTGGGCGATCATTTTTTTCTTTTTACGGTCTCAGCAGCCTGAGGCCGTGACCATGTATTAAACTTTTTTACTTTTTCAAGGCTTTCCAAGGCGACCCCGAGCTCCAGATGCCTACAAAGGTAGAGAGGACATTTTGTAAACACAAGTTGATCAGCGTGATGCTGATGTGACAAGCTGGCCTATCGGAATGAAACCTTACTAAGCCAGCCCTGCACTGAATTGTATTTGCTTGCTGTCAGTAAGCTAGTTTGGAGAGTTTTTTTTGTTGTAGATCTTAAAGGGTCCGTGCCGTGAGCCAGTGGAGTTGTAGTATCACGTACGTCACGCCTCTTCGGGGCACTGCAGGGAATGCCTCAAATCTCTGTCAAGCGAGAAGTCCTGTTTTTTGTCAGACCCAGTTTGACCACATTAAGGCTGTTTTTTGAAATATCTATCCTATTCATAGAGTCGGGCTGTCTGAAATGTTTTTATTAATAGTAATAGCTGTTTTATTTCCCTCCTGCCCTTTTTGTTGAATCGGCTCGAGGTGCTTTGCATTGTCAATAGATTCCTGGGCCACTAGCTACTGTGATGTTGATATGGCCACAATGTCTTTGTGAGGACAGGCGCTACCCCCGGGGGTCAGGTTTCACCCAGCCCCACAGAAGGACATTTACTGCATTCACTTGCCCACCCCTGGGATCAGGCATGCTCCATTTTGAGGGGAGATTCCCTCCAGTGCCAACCATAAAAGTCTTTTTTTGCAAGGCACGTGTAGCACAATATCACGAAGCTCTTGTAAATCTGTTTGTTACTATGTAATAGTTAAAAAAATAGCAGTAAACAAGTACTGTTACTTTTATGTCCTTGATCAAACAGTCACCTTCCTTTAATGTTTGTTTACCTGGTGTCTGAAGAACTGTGCCTAAACCACACCATGCATGAGCCAGAATAAGTGATGGGTAACATCAGAATACTTTATAAGGACTACATCCTACAAACCAAGTCAGCCAGGGGTGTAAAAGTCAAAGTGACTGACGTCTTGCCTATTTTCTCTCAGCTCTCACAGAGGATACTTGCCCGGAGCGTGAGGAGCACACCTCAGCGGACAGCGATGATGGCTCCCCGCTCGACCTGTCAGGAAGGGGGCTCTCTGGGAAGCGCCGTCGCCGTGGTAACCTGCCCAAGGAGGCGGTGCAGATTCTCAAGAGCTGGCTGTACGAGCACCGCTTCAACGCCTACCCTTCAGAGCAGGAGAAACAAAGTCTGTCGAGCCAAACCAGCCTCACGGTGCTGCAGGTAAGGAGCAGGTTTTCATTTATTGATTTATTCTTTTCACTCGCGAGAGAAACTTGCATCAGAGGCACGACGCTACGTCTGTTAGTACAAACAAGTGTGACGCGTATTTGGCTGATGATGTCTGATGGATTGTGCATGTAAATCTAAAAGCACTTGCTGCTTTAACTGCTCTTTCTGATTGTGAACAAGTGAAAGCAAAACAATAGTTGAATGTTAGTGGAATGTATGCATTGTACTAAAGAGAATAGCATTTTTCCCAGCCTTCCTTTTTTTACTTTGTTGCATCAGTGGTAGACGTTTCCTCTTTCCCTCCCAACACGTAGGCATGCACAGACAGGCTGCATTAGATAAGGCATTTGCAGATCAGTATGAGGCTGCAGCAGAGTTTCTTGTTATGTAGTCAGTTCACTGGAATGCCTTTGGCTGGCTTCTCTGTGGCTCAGCATATTTGAGCTCAAACCTTCATTGCTGCCAGCTGTATGGGGGCTCTCACGCCTTGTCTTGTCATGTGAGAGACTGTACCACTAGAGGGAGTGGTGCTTGGGTACAGGTTTAGGTGAAGAAACGTTGCTGTTTGCGTCAGTTGTCTGACACTTCTTTTAGGCTGGTAAGCAGAAAATATTGGTTCTTCTCATACCTGAAATCTACAGTTTTTGTATTTATTTTCCCAGATCTGTAACTGGTTCATCAACGCACGTCGCCGCCTGCTCCCTGACCTGCTTCGCAAGGATGGCAAAGATCCCACCAAGTTCACCATCTCTCGCAAGGTTGTAGGTAGAAATGAGGGGCACTCCTCCAGTGGAGGAGGCGTCTCCTTCACAGAAAGCCACTCCTCTCCCAACCCATTGCCGGAGCGCCCATCTGTCATTCATTCTGCCCCTGTTTTTGACCTCGGTGTTCTCGGAAGCACAGCAACAGCTATTCTGACAGGAGCAGGTTACCCTGGTAAGGAAGTGTCAGTCCAGGCACTGATGAAGCTGGATGCACAAAGTCTGCTGATGAAAGTGAAAGAACAGGGGCCTTATTTGGCAAGTCTTGCCAGCAGAAATACAGCAGCTAGCACCACCAATGGCCTCTTCAACACACCTCCACCAACTCCTCCAGATCAATGCGCTCCCCCGGACTTTAGTGCTTTGCGCCTCCTCGCAGATGTAGCTGCGCAGAAAGCTATAGAGCTGGAAAACGAAATGAAGCTGAAGAGCCAGAATAAACCCACAGAGACTGAACAAGCAGAGTCACAGAGCAGCACTTGTAACCGAGAGATAGGCCTCACACCTCCTCCAGAAGACAACCAACAAGTCTTGGATCCTTCCAGGGTGCAGCATCTAATGGAGACAGCTATGACCGTTCCAGCATCAGATGTGCCTTCGGGAAAGGATTCGGTGCCTGCGAGCACAGAAGCATCTCTTCCAGTCCCAGCTCCAGTCTTTTTCTCAGCTCCAGGGATATCACCGCTTCATATGAATAAAGTCATCGTTTGCCACATAGAGCAGGATCAGCCTCAACTTCTTACAGCCCATCTGCCAACCATGATGCCAGTACCTGCCTTAGTCTTAAAACAGCAAGATCCTCACAAACCAGTAGCTGCTCCAGCCTCACCAGCTTTAGCCTTGAGCTCAGTTGCAACTCCGTTGTCCACTACATGTCCTGCAAGTGTGCCGAGCTCAGTGCCATCCCCAGTCCTTCTGCCAGTCACAAATGTATCTTCCGTCTCTGCAAATCAGGAGTTATCCATAAATGTAGCTGTTGTTCCACCCACCAGAGGAATACCACTTCAGCTGCCATGTCCCAGGTCCCCCTCAACTCCAGTTGCAGTAGCATGCCCACTGCCATCTTCAGCTGTCATGTCTTCTGAAGCCCCAGTTACAAGCCCAGCATCAGCCTCTGCCCAGGTTTCAGCTGCTGCCTCAGTTTCGCCCCAGTCCGCATCCATCACACCTCCTCTTGGCCTCAGTTCCCAGCACACCGCCTCCCAGCAGCCCACGTCCCCGAGCAGTACCAGCACAAGTAGCAGTAGTTCACAGAGGAATTCAGCTTCTGTGCCCCGTGTTTGGAGCATGGTCACCAGGCAAAGCCGCTCCCTGGGGAAAACCCCCATTAGTGCCGTGTGGGGCCCACTGCACCCGGTGAGTGAAACTGTCAACTAGGAGCTCTTTTTAAAAAAAAAAATATATATATATAGTTGTGTAGACCAAACACTAATTTTAGTATGGACAACACTATATTGGAGAATGTATTATTATTATTATTTTTTATTTTTTTTATTCATCACCAGTACGTTTTGATATGAGTTTTAAACCTGAGCCTGTAGAATGTGCAGCGGGGAATTAGTTAATCAGATGTGCAAACTGGGATGAAGTAAAGTAACCAACATAATGGTACTTATAAAATAGAAAAAGAGATGGGAAAGAGACTGTGTTTATTATGCTGTTTGACAACAGAAGGGGGTTTTCTTAAATCACTTTCATAATGAACATTCCTGTAGCGTAAATGCAAAAAAAATAATTTTATGTTTGTTTGTTTTTTAACCTCTTACCATTTTTACCAGGATGTATTGATCGCCCACTTTTTGGTGTAATTGGCACCACCAGCAAAGTTGGCCTCTTTAGTAGCAGTACTGGATTTTATTGAATGTACAAAAGACACTGACTGCGAAACATCCACTCCCCTCTAGGATAAAAATGAGGGCATTGTTTTGTTTTAATATTCACATCACCATCTTCTTAGTTTAGTGCAATGTGTTTATTTTTTATTATTATTATTATTCATTTTTTTGGGATGAGAGAAACTGATTTTTTACAGCAGCAAGCTCGGACCCTTTCATAATGTATTCCTGTTGTTTTAGTTAAAAGGGGAGTGACCTGTTGTGTCAACTTTCTGCGAAGTATATGCTTTGCCTTTTTTCTTTTTGCCCCTTTTTTTTTTTTTTTTTTTTTTTCTACAGTTATATCTGTAGTTTTAATTAAAATCAGTATTATAGTGATTTAGCCAAAAACATGTTTTTCTTCTAGGCAATCATCTGTTAACATGAAGCCCTCACAACTCCACGACGCATTCAGTTTAGTGAGAGAAATGGTGCTTTTATGGTTTATAATATTTATGGTTTCTATGTTCCCATTTTATTCAGCAGATATTTCTCTGTGCACATAGGTTCTCTGCAAAGCAAATGTACCACACTCAGTAGCTGACTTTTTGTATATTTAATGTTCTAGTATTTCCTCATCTGTGATTTCCACTTTTATTTACAAATGGTTTCTATAGACTTTCTAATCATAAAGTTTTAGTTTCCATGAAACTGTAATAGGATGAACCACAATTTGTGGCTAAATGCCATCTCAACTTTTAACAGTAGCAGTGTTTGTGGGAAAGTTACATTTGTATGAGAATAATGCTGTAGCAAAACTTAATCTACAATACTATCATGTTTACCAGTGTTACCGAGCTGTGTTTAGCTCAAACGGTTAGGTTTATTCTGCGTTTTTGTTTTTGTTTAAATAAATGTGTGGGTTGTAAATGTTGTCATACTGCCAAGCATCGACCATCACAATCATTCCTAGAAAAAAAAATTTTTTTTTCTTTTTTTCCTTTCCTGTCTTGCTCTTGTCAGACATGGAAAAATGGTCATACATTTTTATTTTACTGTTGTTGTTTTGTTTTGTTTTTTTGTTTTGTTTCCTCACTGCCACTTGTATTTCAGGATTTTGATTTTTCTTTTTAAGGCTTTATTTTGTTCAGGTATTCTGTCTGATGTGCATTTATACCTCAATTTACAAAAGTCATGTCAGACTTGGGTCATGTCAAGGATATTAAGTATTAAACGCAATCTTTCTTTATTTTTTTTTATTTTTTTTTCCATTGATGCTAAATCATGTCACTGTGAGTACACCTTAATGGTTGTAATACTGGATGGATGACTAAGGTGTTTTTGTTTAATGGCAGTGCTTTATATTAAGTTTCCTATGATGTGCTTTTTTTTTTTTCTTTTTTTTTTTCTTTGGATGTTTTGACTTAAGCTTTATAACTGTGTGGCCTCTGTACAGCTACATGCATTCAAAACGTGATCATTCAATTTCATGTGACTCACAACTGACTGCTGGTAGTATGGCTGACTGTTGTGCCTTAAACCTACAACTGATTAAGATGTCTCATTTTATATTAAAGACTTAAATAGTCTGTGCAATATATGCCTTAAATTTAAAATGTCTTGTCTTTTTTTTTTTTTTCTTTTTTTTTGTATGAGCCTTTCAAGGAAATAAAATTTCAAAACTGTTTATAAATGTTTCATTTGTCTTTGTTTTGCTTCTGAAAGCAAATTGATCACTTGTGAGTTCCTTCTGTGCAGTAGTGGGGTTGACCTTGATTTCTTCAAACATCTTGGCTAAAATTCAGAAATTTAAAAACCTTTGAAGCTGCTTTTAAAGGTTTAAATATCGAAGTTTCTAACTTGCAATCTGTCTATCATTGTGAGATGTTTCGTTTAAAAACCAAAACGGGAAGCATTCTTTTTTTACTTTTAGCAAATTACAAAATTTTATATGACAAAATATCAATTTGAAACAGCTTTCAAATAGCATGTTTATTTTAGCCCATCTACTACTGTGTGTGTGTGTGTGTGTGTGTGCGCGCGCACATGTACTCCCAGATATGTTTTTAATCTAAACGAGTAAAAATATGATTCTGTCGGGTTTATGGTGGCACTTGTGTCTTTATATACAGAGGCAAGAAGTTTTATTACAATTGGACCAATTTAATGGGACAAATTGATTTGCTGTTGAGGAAAATCTTTATTTTACTGTCCAGATGCTATAATAGCAACCCGGCACCTAGATTTCTTCTGGTCTATGATATGAGATTTAAAAATTTATTTAAGCAACTAGAAAGGGGGGGGTTGCAACATACAACAGCTCATGCATATTTGTTTCTGTTCATATGCAAGTCATGTAAACATAGCTGGGATGTCATTATATTTCTCAAAATGAATCCAATGTTTCTTTCTGTCCTACCTCAAAGGCTCAGCCCAACAAGCAGAGAAAAAGTGTTACATTTTAATCAAATTTATTAAAAACTGGTGCAGTGTATCCAGTCTCTTTAAACCCCTGATAAAGACACCAAACAACCAAAAACCATTCATGTCATTAAATGTGTTAGTGAATATGTACTTAGTTAACGCTGCAACGTGAAGTAGCTGTAAGTAAATATTTATTGGTTGCATTCCAGCTCAATTTAAGTATCTGGCAGTTACGTAAAGCACAGAATACTTTACTGCAGCTTTGTAGGAAAAAAAGCGCTGTCATGAAATGCTAGAAATGTTTGAATGCAGGCATGGTGCAACATTTTAAAAATACGCCAAACACACTCTCCACTCACTTTATTTGCCTGAGAAATTTCGAAACTGAATTCCTTCAACAACACAGACATACCCGATCCTTTAACAAATACACACAACCAGCTGACGGGAGGATGATCTCACTTTTGACTGCCATTCTTAGTGACCATTTCAACTACAGGAAATATTTGTCTAAACCGAATAAAAATGATGAAAGGTCAGGGTTTTTTTTTTCTTTAATCTGTTTTCATCATACAAGGATATATATTAGACAGAAAAGGAGACAAGTTGCGCAGGTGTGGTCGGTAACTGGCAGGAAGAGGTAAACATGGCTGGTATTGTATGAAGTACGTCAAATGGCCTCTGTACAAATACACAGATCTGCTTAATGCATCTCCAAAATCCAATCATGTTGTCTACAAAGGCCAGAAAAACTGCAGTCAATGTGGATGAAGACAGGTGCAACATCTGGAATGATGTTTAAATGTAAAAAACAAAAAAGGGGATCTCAAATTACTTCAGACATGCCACCCTTGTTAAACATGTAGGTATTTAAATGTACAATAAATTTATTTCTGCCATTTTATAAAAGATATACTTCAGTCCTACATGAATTCCTTTCAAATCTGCAAGATTGACAAAGACAGGAGCTACAGATGGATTTGTGGTGCAGCATGTGTGCAGGGGGGAGGCCAGAGGCAGTCATTTTCTCCCTCTACTCGTCATCCTTGTCTTTGGCGCCATGTTTAAGGATGCGGGTGAACTCTGCATAGTTGAAGTTTCCCTTCTTGTCGATGGGAGCCTCCCGAAATAGCTCGTCCACTTCTTCATCTGTGAAGCGGTCACCCATGGTGGTCAGCAGCTCTCTCAAATGGTCCTCGTGGATCACACCTTGGACGTGGAGAATTGAGAGGGGAGTTAATGATCCGAGCCCTGGCAGAGTGAAACGGGATTTGTGCGTGTGTGTACAAGATGCGTATTGACCCACCAGATCCCTCCTCATCAAAGCAGGCAAAGGCATTGCGGATGACATCCTCGGGGTCTGTTCCATTGAGCCTCTCTCCAAACATGGTAAGGAACATGGTGAAGTTAATGGGCCCTGGTGCTTCGCTCATCATCCCCTCCAGATATTCATCAGAAGGGTTCTTACCTGAGGAAGAATATCGTCACATGCATCCATCGCTCATCTAGGAATTAACATCTTGTTGTCTGATAATAAGAAATAATCGGCCCAAACCAGCAAGTGTGGATGAACATTTAAGTGTCACTTATAGTTAGTTTACCTGGAATCACAGGTCTTTGCTATTCTTGTTGTGGTCCTTACATACTCAACCCAAGATCCATTTTAATTGCACATTTTCCTGCTTTTGGTAATCCTGTTTTAATAAATATTTCAAGTATTCTTTCGTACTCTTATGTACAATTTGAAGTGGTAATGACTTCCACCTCAACACCCCTCTAAAAATCAACGTTTTCTGTATATTATTTGATTCAACTTTCAGCCATGTGAATCTCCTTTCTGTTGCAAATCCTATTTAACAAGTATATTGACTAAAATCGCAAAAGTGTCTTTAATATAGTCAGTGTTGGTCAAGTTACTTGAAAAAAGTAATCAGTAACTAATTACTGATTACTTCCCCAAAAAAGTAATCCCGTTACTTTACTGATTACTTATTTTCAAAAGTAATTAATTACTTAGTTACTTTTTAAAAACACAATTTACAACCTGAAGAGGTGATAAAGCGATAGATCTTTCAGCCCAATTCTACTTTTTCTACATAATCCATCATACAAAATGTAATCAAATGGAGAAGAGTCGTCTTTAAAATTTGAGCTAACGGGAGGTCGAGACCTCTCAGGTCTGGGAGGAGACACCGCTTTCCAGCGGCGACTATCGATCTAAAATCCAAAGTAGCTCTGCGCTAACTGCGAGGACTGCGGGCGGCCATCGCGAAGAATGGCGGGCTTAAAAAGTTTTGCGGAGGATTGCGCAAAACAATCTCGGGATCTCGCAAAGTCCATCGTTGAGATTTTTTTTTCTCCACATGTCCCCTGCGGGGCACTCGTGGGCGTATTTAATTCATGCATCAAGCAAAACATTTAATTATATGCAACATTCTCTGACTGGAAAAATTAGTTTAACATTTAAACCTATTTTCTGCACATTCCAGCACATAAAATAAAATATTTTTTGTGTTTACACTCACTCTTTCAAATAGATGCAAGTAAAACACAGCAGAAAATAAATAAAATCAAAGACTAGCGGTCCTGTTGCTCTATTTTCACCTGTAAAGCAGGAGTGGGTAGGCGGAGGTTTACCCTGGTGCAGGTGTGCCGCAGCGGTCAGTGGAAGAATCCGCGAGTTTCTCTGTGAGTTTCCCATTACTCGTAGCGCACTCGGTGCTTGCTTGGAAGTTTAGGGGGGTTTTTTTCGCTGTAAAAAGAAGTTTTCTTCCCACGCACAACGGACAGCTAATGTTTTTGTCACTTTTTATGGAATCAAACTCAAAGTAAGGTCAGTACTTCCACGCTTTAAACGCTGCACGCTCATACTCTCTCCGCACTCGATATATGATCCATTGTTGATCTGCACACAGCTGTTGTCA